TCCGTTGGTGTACACTGCCTCACTGCCATCCACGTACTGGATCTGCGATTGGTACACATGCTGGACCTGCTGCTGCACCTTCGGGGGGGGTGGGAGAGGGGGGGGGGGAGCGTCAGATGGCGGGCATCCGAAATGGGGACTTTAAGGAGCAGATTCAGGAATTTGTGGGATGGGGAAGTCAAATCAAAGCCAACCAGTCATAAATATCCCGTAAGGCACTGCACAGAGACAGTAAGCTACCCATTTCCCAGGGGTTACCATGCAAATGAACATCTTTCTCTAAAATCAAATAGAGATTTGCTTGGGCAGTCCTGTCCCAGTTGTACGATGTCTACTTTGCCACTGGACACTTATAGTCAAACCATTTTCATTCAATTCATTCATTCATTTGCTTAGGAGATCCTTACAATCTATCTTCTGTAAAGCATACAGTCTCAGTCACATGACCTCCACCCACCCCCTACATTTCTCCAAAGGCTTCACCTTTACTGTACAGAAGCACCTACGTGTGACAACTAGCTTTACTGAGCGGCTTCGTTTGCACAGATTCAGAGGAAACTTGCGTAAAGACAAGCGCGGGCATGGCCGGCTTCCTGCCCGCGTTCTCCGGCGGCCGGGCGTGGCGTGCCTACCGGCTGAGGGACCTGCTGCACCCTGGGCACCGGCAGCGGCTGGGCGGGGGTGCTCTTCTGGGCCGAGCCCGTGGCCTGCACCAGCACCCTCTGAGGGGGAGACGGGAAGCCCCTTCATATCAGCACACATCCCCCCACCCACCCCAATTCCTCCCTTATTACATAGGTGTTTAAAAGCTTTGCAAGCCCGAAAGTGTGTTGGGGGGGTGTCGGACATTTTCACGAGTGCCCCCTAAGCAGCCACAACGCGGGCTATTTAGTGCCTGGTTTATGTCAGAAGCTCGCGATCTGCGAAGCTACAGCCACATAGATCACACAGCTACACTAAGTAGGGCAGGGCTGGCTTTGCTCAGGGGGGCTCAGCCGTCAAGGCTAAATATGATGCACTAGCAGAAACATTAACAGTAAAACACAAAAGCCGGCTCTTGGCTCCCTCGCAAAATCCTGATTCCAAAAGCACCATCTGTAAAAGCTGTACAATTTCTAAGATTTCTGTGGGGGGGTGGGGTAGGCGGTAGCTACACATGGCCCCTGCTTTGACAACACAGCTATGGGCAAGCAAGCGCCATAGAAATCACTGCACATCTCTCACTGCAAACTCATCACTGTCTGTGCTCACAGGTCGCAGGGGGTCACACTGGAGGGTCTGCGCTAAGTCGCTGATGGTAAACAGTGGCCTGCAGGCACCCGAGCGACCTGTAGAGGGAGCTTCTGCTGGGAGACGGTAAACCTCCGTAAATCTCCTTGGAATCGAGGCAGGCGGGTTCCCTGTGTGATTATGCTACATTCTGAGCTATGGAACGACCCCTTCGTTATATCGGCGGAGGGACTCGAGAGCAGGGTTACGAGAACGTCCTGAATCCCAGACGACTGATTTCACCCAGAGGTACCTGCTGGGAAGCGGGCACGGCCTGCACCACGGGGGCCTGGGCTGAGGTGGACGTGCGCAGGGGCCCGCTGGACGCCGAGTCGGACCCTCCCTCCGAGCTCTGCATACTGAAGCCTGTGGGCAGAGGGCACAGTGAGCCAGTTCAGGAGGTAGGAAGCCACACGAAACACAAATCCCACAAGTCCCGGGAACCACCATAGGAACAAGCAGAGCCACCACTACATCACACTACTCATTTATCTGATGCTTTTATCCAAGGCAATTAACAGTAGAGGGAAGGGTTACAATTTGTGTGTGTTGCCTGGGATTTGAACCTACGACCCGTGTGCGATACTCTACTTATTAAGCTACAGCATTACATCCACCTAACCGGACAGGGAACAGGAAGCCGGCAGACCCAGAAAGAGTTCCCACATGGCTCTGATCCGTGAGGCCCACTCCAAATCACGATAGCAGAGAGACCGTCACGGCAACGGGCCGAATGCTACCGACAAACGGGAAGGAGAGTGACTCTGTGGCTAAGCAAGAAACAGGACGGCTCAGAAACCTTAAGCGGTTCCCCAAAATGTACAGGACACAAACCATGTGACATGCAAGAAAGTGAACAATAGCTGAGCACAAAGAGAGAAGCGCTGTGGGAAATGAGCGTCGAAGCAGAGGAGAACCCAAGAAACCACTTCTTCTCCCTCAAAACAAAAATCTCTACAGGCAGCGGGGACTCGGCCCCCGCCTTGCTCCGGAAGGTTTCCAGCATTTGTTTCAAATGAGAGATGTCCTTTGGGGGTTTCAATAATCCAGCTGATATGAGGAAATTCCTGAATGCTTTGTAAATGTTGGTCGGTTGCTATGGTGAGGAATCCATGGCAACCACCCCCGACCCTGCCCTCCCAAATACCCCCTGCACCCCCTTTCTATTTTCTTTTGAAGCTCATGCAAAGTAACTTGAGAATAGAGGGAGAGAAAGAGGGGGAGAGACGGAGAGAAAGAGAGAGAAGGAGAGAAGGGAAAACGACAAGGAGGAGGGAGAGAAAGGAGGAAAACTTAGAGGGAGCACATCTACGAATGGAACGTGCGACCCCTAATCAGTCAGCAAACACAGACGAGAGACTTCATTACGCCATCTGTCACATGCAAGATCTGCGCAAGACCACAGTTTAAGTGATGGGAAGTTTATTAGTCATAATACCCCAATATAACATCATAATGAATGCAATGATATTACATACCATACCAGGCTTTAAACCTTGAGATAATTCATTTTAACTCCCAGGAAAGGAAACTTACTGGTTCATGAAATCATGAGAATGTTTTTTTATGATTGTGTTCAAATTTAATGACATTCTATAAAGCATTGTAAGACTATTTCCTTTAAAGAAAAAAACTCTGGCTCCTGTTTGTCGAGCAAAAATACTTCCTCATTTTACAGGGAAGCATAAAGATTTTGAAATCTCATTTTCACGCCATCAGATCTACAACCACCCTGGCAATGGGTGTGCCGCCTCTCTGGTTGCCGGGACAACAGACTGGATTGGCAAAGGAACGCAAGGTGAGTAATCGGTGTTAAGGATGGTGCAGGAACTCAAAAACACCAAGGTGACTGGGGTGGTTACCTCTTCAGGACACGGTTACCAAACCGGTCTGCACGTGCACGGACATACACACGCCTGTGTACGTCTATACGTGCAAATTCAACATTTTGCATTTCTAGAAAAATGTTCATACAGCCATAACAACAAAAACATGTTGATGGGCACGTGTGCACGCCTCATTCCAGAAGCATCTCAGCTGTCATCCGCCCTATCAGATGGCATCCAGAGGGAATGACAGCACAGACGACCCTATGCTCCACGGTAACCACGGTACCACCCCTGTTTCTCAGTCAAAACACCCGTCGCTCGAATGCATCTCACATCATGCCGCTGGAGGGGGGTCCATAAGAGACACAACACCCACCAGTCTGCCCACAACATCAGCAAAACAGCTGGTCAAATCCAGATGCGGCATATTAAATCAAAGCTCTTTCAACACTACAGCCTGATGACTTTCATACCTTACTTTGACAGAACGAAAAAGAAAAAGTCAGGGTTCAAGTTTCATGCTCTTTTAAAAGAAAGGAATTTGACCACTGCGTCCACTCAGTTATAAATATGTGCTTGACAATCTCTCCAGTTATCTTTGGACTGGTTTCCCCAGTGGCAACATTTACTCACAGGGGAGAGGAATGAGCCAGACTCTTACGTCCTGGAGCTAAACATGGCCCGTTAGAAATCAGCCGCTTTACTTAGACCTGGGAACTCTCAGATACACAAAGAGAATTTCAATAAAACATATCAGGCCCAAAATGCCATCAATGGAGTGAAGCTGACAGACAGCGCTGGACTTGGGGGACAAGGGGTAGCACTGAGCGCAGGGACCGTGGGCAGGCATTCTCCCCAGCCCGCCAGAGGCCCCGGTGAAGGTTAAAAGCCACACAAAATTCCCCACCAGCCGCTGTGAGGCACACAAAGGCCACGGGCTGCGGGGGTCCTGCAGTACCCCGGCCGAAGCCGAACGGGGCTGCGCTGCAAAACTTCAGTTTTCTGGCTTCCTCGGCGAACTTTCTCCATCTCCAAGTTTCACAGAATGACAACAGAGACGCTCGAACAAAGGGGGACACTTATGCAGAACACGAGAATGTGGAATGACTGCTGCAGCAGTGAATATCACTACAGCTGTAGATCCATTTACTGCAATTTAACTGTCACTTCCAGCTGAAAATCTCTGAGCGAGAGCAAAAGAAACCTGGGAAACTCGATTTTTAAGCCTCTATTAATTTAATACAAAACCATACCTGTTATTTTGCAGGAAAGTTGGGGCACGGTGTAATACATCAGTCACTGGCTTATCTGATTTGCGGAGCATTCAATCAGAGAAAAACACATACAGATGTTCAATTAAAAGCAGGAGCCCACAGTCTTGGCTCTTGTTTGCACTGGCCCACATTGTTTGCAGAGCAACAGCGGTTTCCAGGGGCAACACCGTCCACTCCCGTTTCCAGGAGCCTGTTGCCAGGCGACCAACAGAATACTTCCCAAACCAAACAATGCCATCCCCCAACTGATCCCTCTATCTCAAATTAGCCAGAAACTTACAATAAATATGTGAGCCATTACTTTCAGGCACCATGAACAGGACAGAGGGAGAGGATTTAGTTCCTCTGCCACAGACTAGTTCTGACAAGCCATGGCAGATTAAATAGTTTTGTCCTTTAAAAACATTTTAATCAACTAATTAAAGAAAAAGGCAAAGGAAATTATAGTCACTTCCAAGGAACAAATAACATTAAAAAAATTATTTGTAAGCAGAGGCAAAAACATCCCAAATTACTTAAATTACCCTGTTACAATTACTGAAACCATTTTATAATTATCACAGGAAAAAAAACACATAAATCAGATCATTTCACTTATCCAAAACAAATTGTCACAATAACGACAATGCCTTCACTAAGCTAACAATTCCATCGGAAAGGTATATTTACAGGGCCATGTGAGAGTGAGACTCGTGTGGGGTCACCCTATATTTACAGGGCCATGTGAGAGTGAGACTCGTGTGGGGTCACCCTATGCGTGGCTCATATTTACGCTTGTTAGCCACGGTTGCTAACAGGCCAGCCTCACAACACTCCAGACAGAGAACCGAAAGCTAGAATGGAGAAGGCGAAGAGTCCTGCTTTGTTCTGTACCGCAGACACCCACGGCCCACTTTCCTCCTCTGCCTTCTTCCACCAGGATCATTGTTATGAATATTCACTTACAGCCTCCTTACAGCTGCAGAAGGACACACAGGAGCTCCGAGACCAGATAAGCATGTTTTGATTGACCGTCTGCCCGAGGTTTGCTGGGCTTTGCTTTGATCCCTCGTCTATCAACAAACTGAAATGTGCACATATGTAACTTCAGAATCAGTCTCAAAGTAAACAAAGGCGGCACATGAAAAATCCACATGAAACCTGCTCTTCAGGTCTTACATATGTATGTCATTTGCTACTGAAACAAAGTTACTCCTAAGGGTGTCAATGGAACACGAGCTGGAGGGGTTGGTCGGGGGGGGATGCACAGCTCCTTAGCATGAGACCCCAGATTCATCCCCCCTCCATCCTTCTGGCTGTAGCCCACGACCAGTGGCCCCCAGTAGGAGCACATAAACTAAGAGCGAATGAGGACACTGTTCCCATGGAGACAGCCCCCCCCCCCCCCCCCCCCCCCCCCCCCCACCACCCATCCCCTACAAGCAGACCTTCACCCACGGCACATCCTGAAAAGTCGAACGCTGAAAATGACAACAAGCTGGAGCAACACTGCTGAACTGGGGCATCTCCATCGCAGAGCAGGAGGTTCCCTGGCCCTTCACTGCTTTTCACAGTCGGTTCATCTCTACAGACAAGATTGTATCGCTTCTCAAGACAAGAAGGCAGGGTGGGGAACAATGGCCAATAATAGGGAGAGGGAGGAACAACATTTGATAAATGACAGCTGAGTCGACCTATGGCACGTTAGGCCACATTTTGGTCATGATCAGTTCCCCAGGCCTGAAGATGACGCATGAAAACAGGTAAGTCCTCAAAGCTAATGACTCACTGCATCTCCTTACAGATCTCCACCCATCAGGTGAGGAGGTCACTTACGACAGACTTGCATCCCATTCTCATGTAACCAACATACCGATTCACAACCAGTGTCCAAGTACACCACTCTGGTGTGATTTATTACCAAAATCATAATTGTTTTGAATACTGATTCCCACAAACACTGCTCACTATGCAACTGACAGCTTCTGGGAACGCTTATGGTATTTCTTGTTGACTTACTAAAAGGTAGAGAGGATGAACTATTCACATGAAAGAAAAGCAGTGTCTTCATTAGTGTTAAGACAGTTTACAGCAATGCTCACACTAGATAAATTGTCTGCATTTGGCACAAAATTCTGCATGAAGGCTCCATAATAAAAAACAGCCTGTCTTGTTATTAGCCTCACATAACTGACTGCAAGGGAATTCCAATCAGATTCCCGGATGCTATTATTTCTCTACAAGGCCACAAAAGGCAAATTCATAGAGAAACCTGTTTATAAATAAACAGAGTTAAATGCTCTGCATTAGTATACAACAGGAAATGTCTTGTTTGAAGTCAATTCACTGAACCCCAAACTACTTCTTGCCTTTGCAAAATAAAACTGAAACAAGTTTAAATACACAGTTTGCTTTTGGAAAGTAAAAGTGAAAGGTGTTAAAATATACAGTGGTCTTCCTGAAAACTGCAAAACCCGAACTGCTGATAGAACTTCTCTACAGAATTCAAAACAGGGAAACATTTCATCCATCTGTTTATGGAAAACACCTTCATACACTATAAATATAAAAGTATAAACTCTGCAACTGAGAGTTTGTTTTGAAAACTGAGCATGCTGCAAGATAGTACACAGGCAATATGTTTATTAATACACACTGCATTTACAGGTCAGGCAGACCACCACAAACAAACAATGGCTAAAAGTATTTTCTAATTGGTAGCAGTCGGACAAACCCTGAATGGGCTATTGTACAGAATGAGAGATCACCCATCATATCAGGTGGCTGCACATAATTTAATCCTTTCAAGCGAGGAGGAGAAAAGCCAGCAGTGACTCAGTGACATGCTGTGGCTATTAGAACACAGAACGGATTCAAAATAATTACAGAATAGATACCAACTATTAGAGTACCGTACATATTTAATTTCCACGTTTTTGGTGAAGTGCTACCACGACACTTAATTGGACAAACATAATGGAAACGGAATGAATATATACATGATTGAATTGGATAACGACAAAAGCGATTGTGTAACAGGGCAAACACAGAATAAAACAACGATTTTGAATGATCAAATATGATCTTGGAGTAATAAATCATAACTGAGACATCTCAATGCAAAGAAAGCTCCCTGAAACAACCCAGGGCGATTACTGCGAACACCTGTGGGACCACATTAAGCACTACAGCTCAAGGATGCTGCCTAACTAATGAAACGCAATGCAATTTATTATAGTGTTAAATAAACATAATTGAAATGAACACTTCACAAACGCTCTACGTGGGACAGTATTACAGTAGACAAGAAAGAATCCTTGAGTGATTCTGAACTTATGAGGCATCCAAAATGACAACATCTGGTATTAAGGGAAAAGGGTATTTTAAAGACAGAAACACCAGGAAGAATATCAAGTGTTTGAATCATCTACAGCACTCTCACTATCAGTACACGGGGTGGGGGGGGGGATTTCAGGTCTATCTGATCCTCTCGAATTCTGACACCAAACACGCTCAAAATTATTAAAGAATAAGAAAAAAAATAAAACGTCACCATAACTCTATTTTAAGGACAGGGGAGAGTATAATCTGCAGTGAAACTGAAGGTCGTTGCTTGAGAATTTCTTATTAATTAAATAAATAAATCTGGACTCATTCCAGATCAATGTCAAGAAGTGACAATGCCTGATGGTCATTCAGGCGTGACTCACAATGCACAGCAAACAATGACGGAGTACAAACGCTCTAAGATGAAGACGCGCGGCGGCCATCTTCCACACGACACCTTGCTACCTTTGTTCTTTCAATGTAAAGAGTGTAAAGATAAGAGAACAGGACCATGCTACTCGTATCAAATCAGTGCAGCTTATGAGTGAAAATCCGACTACAAGAAGCGACGCGAACCACACCAGGGAAGCAAAGGTCTCGCAGAACCTGCCTGTAAGAGGCTGCGTATGTAAGCAAAGATAAGTCTTCAGTGTCAGCAGGTATGTATTACGGCATTTGCTTCCGAGTACTTATATACATTGAGGATCACCTGCCTTGTAGTGATACGGCTGGCATCTTTCACAGTGGACTCGACAGGCCTGTGTAATAAAGAAATACAGTCTTCTGGATATCAGACGGCTGGGGAGCTTCTTCAAACTGTCAAGCCGCTAAGGAACAAATGGTATCTTATCCCTTTCAAACCACATCTGAGGACTGGGAAACGTCACTCGTGCAGCATCCTACCTCTGAATGTCACAGGCAGCCCAAATCAGTGGGGGATCATATAAACACCACAATCCATCCAGCTTCCTCTCAGAAAGGCTTATTCTGCTTGGCAGCGAGTCGGCAAAACAAAGACGCGACCCTGTCATGTTTCATGCTCTTCCGCTAGTATTATTTCAGACAAGCGAGTGAAATGCAGATTAACCGTCGTGCCCCAAACAGGTGTGACCGGTTCCCACTGCAGTGTGCCCACCTGCCCCCCCCCCCCCAAATAAAGCCTCAGCAGGAAACCTACAGATCCCGGAATTTCACATGCCGAGGTTGAGCAGAGCCAGTGGGCCTTCGTGTCACAGGCATCAGTGTCAGGCTAGAGGGCTTGGGTCAGGTGACAAAGCAGAAAAAGCAAACATGGGAGTAACTGGGACCAGTGAGTGAGGAGGTGAGTGCCACAATTGTTAAGGAAAACTTTAAGGGCAAAGATGACAAAGAAACACACACCTTAATATACTGAAGAAAAAGAACCAGTCAGCTCAGGGCGATGTCAGCCCATCCTGTAGAATGACCAAACACTCAAGCCACAATAAGAACAGACATAGCAGGATGGAAATAATCATTAGGAATGTCAGGAACTTAAACCTGAAGGGAGCTACGAAAAGCAGGGCAATAGTTTTTAATGGAGTTTGGCCACATCCTGAGGGCTTCTCATCTGGGAAACTGATCATGCTGTAAATTTTATAGTGTGGCTAGGCATGAAAAGACCCACAGATTGCTTAAAACATTAGCAAGTGTCAAGAGAGTACACACCATCAGCAAGAGGACAATAGGCAGCCGACCGACGATGTCATCAAACCGTCGTGGGCCTTGAGCAGACATTCAAACACCAGATCGCTGGCTCCAGAATTTGTTCCGGACCTTCAGGAACCTGGCATGTACTGTGGACGCCGTTTTCTTGAGCCCCAACCACCAGACATCACGCCTGCTGCCTTGTACTAATCTCACTCAAAAAAAAAAAAACAAAACATGTTTTTGTTTGCCACATGCCAAACAGCAGCCAGCCACGGCAAGAGAGAGGTGGTGCTCTGCTTTGGTGAATACAATGATGAACCTTGGAAATGTGTGACGAGCACACAGGCATGAAACCACCACACCCAGCTATTAAAGAGACAGAAGTGTGCAGCACTGCACCTCAGCTTCCAGGAGGACCTTGTCCTAACCGCACTGCGAAACATCAGGTGGGAAGCTGACAACCATAACAAACACAGGAAGGCCCGTGCCGCTCTCCGTCACTGCACATATACTGCACGGTTAAGTGTGAACGCCAAGAGCTTCATTCCCTCACCCGGCACTGAGACGCAGCCCAAAGTGTCTCTAGCTTACCTGCAAAGCACGGAACACCCAGAGTTTGCTAAGAAAAACCCACAGCCTGGCAAGGTACCCAGCCCACAGAAGCACCAAGCTGGAAATAAACTGGGTGAAAAGGCCTGCACCAAAACGGCTATACGAGCGGAAAGGACAGCTGAAAATTACTTGCAGTCGAGTCAACTTGAAAAGGAACACCAGTGTGCATGTGACACTTGGGAGTGGTCCAGGCCACCAGTGCCGTCCACCTGGACCGGAAGACGCTCATATGACACCGTGCGGCGAGAGACTCCGAGAGGGAATATTCATGCGACAAAGCATGCGCTGAGCGAATCAAAACAGCAGTCGGCAACTCATTCAAAGCAGTATGTATAGGAGGCTGTAACCGTGTTTACAAAGTTTCAGGCCCCTAGAATTACAGATAGGATCTAATCAGAGTTTTGGAAGTTACATGCCATTGTCATTCATTATATACTACTGTCTTACATAATACCTTCTGTAAAATGAATATTTTATAAATGTTTAGAAATATATGAACCCAGCAAGTCATTTTTATATAAACAGTTTTTATCATTCTGCTTTTATCTCACACGGCTGCTCATCTCAAACATACAGCAGATATCTGATTTCAGATAAAAACTCCACATTTGACACTGAGCTCCACCAACAGAACCCTAGCAAGGACAGAAACACAAAGAGTGACGCCTCAATGAGTTAAAACCTAAATCACCTAATCGAGGCCATAGAGGAAAACACCAAGCCATTAGGCTGGTACAACAAGACCATAAGCTGCC